GGTCTAGTAACCATGGTAGGTTTGCACCTGATGATCTTTGAGATGTTTTCCAATGCGACTGATTCTCTGACTTTCTGTTTCTATGAAATGCAGCTGCTCCTCAGTTTGCTGAGAAGGGGACACAGATGGAGGCCCTGGAGCCCGAGCCACGCAGCCCCTCAGCCCACAGCTCTGTCCCCTCCGTCCTGGCTCACCAGCAGCAGCTCTCGCCGCTCTGCAGTGCACTGCAGGCTCTGCCCACAGTACTGCTCTGCTCCTACCTGGAACCACAGCCCGAGTAGCAGTGCCCCACGGCCTGCCACGCTTGCTCCTGGGGACGGCTGCTGCTCTTCAGAGACCAAGGAGTTTAGTAGATTAGTGGAGCCTTTAGAGGATTCTATAAACATGACATTGTGTTCTGTTATACGTAGCCTTAGTGAAATTATTTTGGGGGGGGTGAGACACACCAATACTGCAGTTTCAGGTGAATCTGTAACCACTGCTATGGAGACGGACTGAGAGAACTGGAGCTGTTCGGCCTGGAGAAGAGAATGTTCCATGACGTTAGATGAGATATTGGGAAGGAATTCTTCCCTGGGAGGGTTCTGAGGCACTGGTACAGGTTGCCCAGAGAACCTGTGGCTGCTCCATCCCTGGAAGTGTTCCAGGCCAGGTTGGACAGGGCTTGCCCTAATCTAGAGGAGTATGAAAAATCGCCTCAAAGAGGGAAAAAATGTCCCTTGGGAACTAGCAGAGTCTCTACAATGCTGTTGTTAAATCCCAAGAAAACGGAAGTCATCCCAGTCTAATCCTTTTGATTTAAATACTGTGGGGCTGTAGCACAAATGGACACAGAGGAAAGGAGCATTTTCAGGAGGCTGCAACCAGTCTGGGCTCATCATAAGCAATCGTGGATGGAAAACACTTGACACAGTTTGGTAATCCCTAGTTTGGTCGAAATCAATTCAGTTTGGTGTTTTGCACTTGGTGTGGTCCTGGTCCGACCAGAGTAGTGGGCGCAGGGTTCTAATATCGCTTGTCATCCACTAGTGCTCCTCTTGAATCTGCAAAGAGAGACGTTTTTTGTTGTTTTGGGGTATTTTTCTGCGTTTTTTTCTTTTATAGAATTTTAATGAAATAATGCAATGTAAAACCTGTAAGTTTAAATTGTACTTCCTCAGCCAGGGCTTTCTGCCTGACACCACAGGAAAATGAGCAAATTGAGTTGTTGCAAGAGGCTTTGGATGACTGAGCTCTTTGGTTGACCAATATCCAAAATGAGTTTTCACTGTACTATGCATACCAGCAGCTCATATGGGATAGCAACATTAGAGCTATTTCCATAGCATCCAGCTATCTCCAGACTGCTTTGAGTTATTAAAAGATGAGGAATAGTACTGGGATTTTTATTTATTTATTTACCCTGAGGCAGAAAGCTTATGTCAAAGACTATCCTGCATTCTAATTCTAATAACCCAACTCAAAATATCCCTGCAAATACACAACAGAGCACTAGATTAAAGCCATAGATGTAGAGAGGAGAGCCAGCAGACCCAAGATTGACCTGTGTTACTGACACCTTGATGAGGCCAATGCATCCCACTGAAAGGAAAGCATTTAAGGTTTGTGAGGTGAACAGAATCACAGAATGGTTCAGGTTGGATGAGATCACTGGAGGTCACCTAGTCCAGCTTCCTTGCTCAAGCCCCTAGAGCAGGTTGCTCCAAACCCCATCCAACCTGGCCTGGAACACTTCCAGGGATGGAGCAGCCACAGCTTCTCTGGGCAACCTGTGCCAGTGCCTCAGCGCCCTCACAGGGAAGAATCTCAGGCATCACAATGTACTAAGACTTCTTTGTGGCCACCATTAGCACATCATCTCTTAACTACTGGTACAGTGATGTCCTCTGAAGCCACCCAAAGGTTTTGTGGGAGGTATTGCCCTCTTATGGCTGCTCAATGAACAGTTGGGTCACAGGCAGTGGTAGGGGCATGAAGCCAGTTTAGGAAGATGGAAAAACACAGTCCTTGTTCTCCTCGCAGCTATGGAGGAAATTGATCTCTTTGTTGTACCTCTAACTGGCATTTGGATTTAATACAAAGTGATTAGCTCCATTCTTTATTGCAAAACTTCATGCGAAGTGTGATGTCTAATGGTCCCAGGGCTAACTGCAATACACAAAGATATGAACCACATGGATTTATTCCAGCCGTAGGTCTGTGCAACCACAGCAGGGTAGGACTGTGCTGTGTGACCCTTGGAGAACTCAGTTTATAGAATCCTGGAATGGTTTGGGAGTTTAAAGGCGATCCAGGTCCAACCCCTGCCATGGGCAGGGACAACTTGCACTAGCCCAGCTTGCTCCAAGACCCATCCAACCAGGCCTGGAACACTTCCAGAGATGAGGCAGCCACAGCATCTCTGGGTAATGTGTGGCATTGCCTCAGCACCCTCACAGGGAAGAATTTCTTCCTAATGATTAATCTAAATCTGTCAGCTCTTAGTTTAAAACCATTCCCCCTTGTCCTATCACTGTTTGCTTGTGTCCGACACAGAAGTCTTAATTTTGGGAGAGTCACACCCTGTCAACATAGCAAACAGGCTTGAAGAGTGACTGACAGCCAGAGTTATTCATGGGAATAGTGCAGAAGTTCCAGGCAGGTTGATGGAATGGTTCTTAGGCCAGGACATCAGATGGGAAGTGGTGCTCCCAGAAATCAATGCTTTCTGGAACAAGGGGGGAATTTTTCTTAGCTCTTCAAAGTAGTGCTGGCACTTTAGGTTCCTTCCATTTCCAGCCCCCTTTGGCAATATTCTGAAAACACTGCATAAAAGCAATTAAGACAACATCCAAAAAAGCTTCAGGGACTCTCCTCCCCAGACACACCTTTTTGTTTATAAAACCTCACTGAACACAAGAGGTGTTTACCCTTGCAGCCCAGACAGCTCTTGTGCCCGTGCTCACAGGTGGCTGTGTGAATAGTCCTACACTGCTGAATCTGGATTCATCTCTTCCTTAGGAGTTCAATGTTCCTGAGTCTACAGGAAATCATTTTTGTGTCATATGTAGCTATTCCAATCAGATGTGAAAGAAGAAAAAGGCTAGTTGTGTTTCCTGGGGATACAGACGACTACATATTACCTGTAACTAATTCTGTGTGACAGTGAGTATTTCTGTGTTGTTTCTGTGGTACTTCCACTGAATGATTCCCCATTTTAGGAATGAGTGATGCTGCAATGTACAGCACTACCTGCCTTTTATTTCTGTTGAGTGCAAAATTCTTATGTAGTCTAAGCTCTTCGGTCCCTCTCAAGCCTCTGTGAGAACATGAGACCCCAGACGATCTGACTCAGATGGGATATCATAGTCACCTATTGAATTTATTCTCTGTACCTCTTACAAATGATAACATGCTGCAGTATTCACACCATCCCATAATCATGCTCTAGTCTCCAAACAAGAAGGCACTTGGGCTGAGCTTTGCTTTACCTCTCTATAGGGCTGATATGTAAATCCTTACCATTAGTACTCAGCTACATTCCATAGAGCAATGCAGGATAAATGGGAAGATCCTTTAATGCCAAGTTTAGACTTCTTTGAATTGGGAAAAGGGGAGGGAAGAAGTCCAGCTAAATCCTGAAAGTACTTATGGAAGACTATGGGGTAAAATGTATAGAAATGAGGGAGTTCTTTAATTGGATACCAGATTAAATCTCATTTTATATCCCACTGGATAAAGATGAAAAAACCCAAAATCACAGAATTACAGAATGGTTTGGACTTTAAAGATCATCTAGTTCCAACCCACTGTCAGGGGTAGGAGCTTACCAGGGACTTAATTCTGCTGTGATAGCATTACTCACTTAAAAACCCCCAACTTTTAGCTTCAGCTACTAATCTCAACACCTTTGGTAACATTATTATCACTAAAAAATTTATGCTGAAAGGATTTCAAGGAATCTGTACCTCATTCCACTTGCTCAGAGAACTTTCAAAACCCCATCGGGTTGCTTGGGGCTGTGTTCAACCAAACTGGAGACCACAGAGGAGGTGCCTTTGTCTTAAACCTTCAGCTCTTCAGACTGAGATGGCACCTTGCAAGAATTAAACTTTGGGTTAATCGCTGTGAAGCTTAATACCTACATTTTGTCTTTTACTTTAGGTATATGTGAATAAAATGTAGATTTTGAGTGTGGCAATGTAAACTTGCAAATGTTTTGAACTGCAAAACAGACCCCAAACCCTCTCACACTCTTTAGCAGAGGGATGAAATTTTGACTAAGCTACACCTTCTTTTTTCTTGCAGGTAAACCTCTGCCTCATTTCTATAATGAAAGATAAGATGCAGAGGCTCAACCTCTCCACAGTATCTGAATTTATTCTCGTCAGCCTTTCTGATGCTCCAGAAGTCCGTTTTCTTCTCTTTGTGCTCTTTTTGATCATTTATTTAGCCACCATGGCAGGCAACATCACACTCCTCATTGCTGTTAGCGCAGACACTCACCTACACAACCCCATGTACTTCTTCCTTGGCAACTTATCCTTGCTGGATATGTTATGCCCCACTATCACCGTGCCCAAGATGCTTGGGGCCTTGCTGCTTGAGAACAAGGTGATCTCCTTCACTGGCTGCCTGTTCCAGCTGTTCTTCCTGATTGATGTGGTAGGCACAGAGATCTTTCTCTTGGCTGTGATGGCCTATGACCGCTATGTTGCTATATGCCACCCCCTCCAATACCTGAACATCGTGAGTATGAAGCTGTGTGCTCGCCTGGTCATTGGCACCTGGGTAATAGGGGTTTTTAACTCTCTGTTGCACACCTCTATGATTTTCACACTCTTTTTCTGTGATTCTAACAAAGTTGACCAATATTACTGTGATATTCCTCCTGTGCTGTCTCTCTCCTGCTCCTCTACTTATAGCAGGGAAGTGGTAATCCTCACAGTCGCTGGGGTCCTGGGGAGCAGTGCCTTTGTGATCACTCTCATCTCTTATGTCTATATCCTCCTGGCTATCCTGTCCATGAACTCTTCTGAGAGCAGGCACAAAGCTTTCTCCACCTGTGGTTCTCACCTGGCTGTAGTTTGCCTTTTCTATGGGACCACCATCTGCACATATGTACGTCCTTCCTCCACCTACTCACCTCATCAGGACAGAATTGTTTCCATGCTCTATGGAATCCTCACCCCCCTGCTAAACCCCATCATCTACAGCCTGAGGAACAAAGAAGTGAAATGCGCCCTCAGAAGAGTGATCAGCAAGGTAAAAAGTGCTTTAACCAGACGAGAGCACCTTGCTCAATCTCTGGGGTCCTCTGGAGCTCCAGCAGTTGCATAGGAACTGCAGTTTGTGACTGATCTTAGCCATCTAAAAGTTAGATGCTGGAATCAAAACCCCATTTCTTTGGGCTCAAAACTCCTTCTCAGAGCTCCCTTTGCAGTTAGAAGGGAGAGTTGTGCAACTCCAGAAGGCCAACTGGGTGGCACAGCTTGTGATCATCATCACAGGAGGAGAAGACTAGGAATGTTTTTTCTCCACTGACTCTCACCTGTGAGAGCACACAGGTGTTGGATGAATATTTTAGAGCAGCAATGCTGGGAACTGGTACTGTAGGCGCATTTAGATACATGTTCCTCTGTACTAAAGCAGCTTATAGGACTGGTACCTCTTCTGGACCATATCACTCCTGCATGTCCTTTCTGGGAGACTGGAAAGCAGGAAAGTTCCCTTGCCATCATTTGAGCTCATCATTTAAGGTTGGAATGGATGAGCAGATAGGGGGAAGTGCTGTGCAGTCTCCTCTGAGAGCTGTGGCTATAAATTTGTGTATATCATAGAGAAATATGTCTTGGAAAAGACCTCCAAGATCATCCAGTCCAACCTTTGATTGATATTTCAACTACAAGGCTCTGTGCTGGAATGATAAACTCTTACAGCTTGAGATGGACCTCAAGTTGTGTCCAAGCACTGTGGCCATGCCTCTTGCTAAATAACTGATGTGACTTTGCTGTTTGCACACTCATGTCTTAGTGGTGACAAATTCATATCCTTCAGCTGAGTATGCTTTTCTTGATATATAAAGAACACATTAAATGAGCTGTTTTAATAAATTTTCGGAGTCTTTTCTTAATGTAAATTTTCTTCTCTAGATTACATTGAACGCCAGAGGCACTTCTTCCTTTTGCTTAGCTCAGCACAGAATATGAAACAGTGATCAAGGACAGAACTTGGGGCTTTTTATTACCTTTTGGACTTTATTTATATAGAGATATTCTGAATTTCATCAGATGTCCTACTGCTCAGTGTCTCCTCATGTGTGAGTCTCCAGGGTGCAGATCCCTGGGTTGTGCTCAGTATTCCTTGACTCTCCCTGTGCTCACATGGGCTCACACTGAGGAGCTCACACCACACACCAACCCCAGTACATATTCAGGCAGCTGCCAAGAGGTTCTCCAGAAGAAATCAGGAGATCATGTCTCCTTCCCCAGTCCAAAATGAGAGGTTATGGACTCCCCTGAGTCTGCCAATGGAGTGAATTCACTAGGACTGCATGAACTCACTAGGACTGAGAGCATTTTTCACTACATGTAGCATTTGAAACACATTAATACTCTATTGAAGTGAATTGCTTTAAGCAGCAGTGTGTCTCAGGGACTTGTCACAAGGTGCTGAGCGACTTCTGACAACTAGAAGTTGCTGGCCAGGGGCAACTGCTCTCAGCTGCTGGTGCTGTGATGCACATATCATTGTCCATCACATTCCAGCAATAACTTCTGCACCAACCAAGCAGAGGACTGGAGAGGTGTATGCCAAGCCATGAACTCTCCAACTAGCAACTTCGGGGGTGTGAAGTTGTGACAAACTAAACAGCTTAGAAGTTGTCATTTCTTTTAACAAGGAGGAAAGTTTTTCCTCCTTAGTGTCTGTGAAAGTGTCCCCAGAGGCTTGTTAGAAGAATGAAGCAGGTCTACCATGAGCATTCTAAGAAGGTTTCAAGATCATTAGAGGATTCTTCAGGATGCCCAGAAGGGCTTGTTAAGCAGAAGACTCTTGGGTGGCTACTCCCAGGGGAACTTCCTCCTTTGGGAAGGGGAGAAGTGCAATTTGTGATGGAAATAGATTTAATGACTGAACTGATGTTGGAGTTTGGGCCTGCTGAGAGACTTCCAGTGGCTCATGGAATGACTACTGCCTCCATCTACTAGTGGATGAGTAGGTTAAGGGGGAAGAAATCTATTCTCCCTGAACATGGACAGTTCATATACATTTATTTTGGGGAGGGTGAAACACATCAATACTGCAATTTCAGTGTGAATCTCTAACCACTGCTATGGAGACGGACTGAGAGAACTGGAGCTGTTTGGCCTGGAGAAGAGAAGGTTCCATGCAGACCTCAGAGCCCCTTCCTGTGCCTAAAGAGGCTCCAAGAGAGTTGGAGAGGGACTTTGGACAAGGGCATGGAGTGACTGGACAAGAGGGAATGGCTGCAGGCTGCCAGAGGGCAGGGTTAGATGGGATATTGGGAAGGAATTCTTCCCTGGCAGGGTGCGGCACTGGCACAGGTTGCCCAGAGAAGCTGTGGCTGCTCCATCCTTGGGAGTGTTCAAGGCCAGGTTGGATGGGGCTTGGAGCAACTTGTGCTAGTGGAAGGTGTCCCTGCCCATGGTAAGGGGTGGAACTGGATTATCTTCAATGCCCCTTCCAACCCAAACCATTCCAGGGTTCTATGATGTTTTGTGCCTTCATCCATAAGAATACAATCAAAATTCAGTTTTCCTGCTGCTGTTTCCCAACTCCACCTAGGAGCTGCCAGGGCTTTGAGGACACTAATTGGACTTAATGACCCTGATGAGTCTCATCTGGACAACTCCACATGCCCCACAGCCCATGAGCCCTATTTAAGCCCAGTCTAGAGCCATTAGTGTTTCCCTGACTATACTGAAGGTGTTTCTCTGCCTCCTGGATGGATCCTAGCCTATGTGTCCCCCTTGCTCCCTGGTCCCTAGAGATCAGCTGGCCCTTGCAGCTCCCTGACTGTAGCCATGGGGATAAGTTGCAGGAAAATGCCTCTATTTGTAGACTTCCTTGGATTCTGCAAGGAAACACTGCTCAGCCTGCCTAACCCAGGTATGAAACGTCCCTCAACATCTTCAATGTTAAAACCCTTCCCTTTTTCTTCACAAAACCTCTTATTTTTAAGACTAGATTCTGAGGTTCACCTCCATCTCTCCTTACAGCTGTTTCCATTCTGTTCCCAACCTATCCCATACAGCAAAGGTTTCTAGGAGCTCTTGTTCTCCCAGGTGTGCACATTTTCTACTGTCTGCTTCCACATGGATTGAAGGTTTTTCTTGATGGATGTCTGGGTTGACTGTGGTGAAATAATTGTGTTGTCTATACTTGGCAGGTAGTTGCATCTCTTACCCAAAAGAATTTCTAAGCTCTAAAGCCCAGTTGTTTGCAACATAGTCATAAATCTATAGCTCATTGTTGTGAATAAAATTAGTAAACATAGAATTCCAAAGTGGTTTGGGTTTGAAGGCCCTTAAAACTCATCTAGTTCCATCCCTTATCCGTGGGCTAATGAATAAATATTTGTGAGTGCTGATCCAGCATCTTAAATGACACTTTCTATTCAAATGCACAGCTGGGGCTTGTAAATTTGTTTTGTCTTTTAAACATGGATGAGTTCTCTGTATCAGCAGAGTCCTGTGTCACATGGAATTGATTGCCTCAAGCTGTGCATGAGGCTGAACCTTATCTGGGGAATGCACACATGTACCACTCATTTACTTGATCTTAACAGCTCTGCTGGTTCCTAATGTCAAACCTGGCTCTGCAGGCTCAGGCTATGCTGCCAACTTCAGCTGAGCCTGGTTTCACACACACTAGCCCAGATGTATTCCTAGCAAACAGCCACGAGGAGCCGGATCTCCTCTTTGCCAGAAGAACTAAAGAGTGCGCGGGATGGTTCCCAGCCCGGGAAACAGCTCCT